ATATATAAATTTTACATGTTGTTTTGTATGGATGTTTGATTTGGCATCCCGTTCTGAGGCATGAATGTAGATTGGTATGTTTGAGAAGAAGGAGACGCTCCGGCAATAAAGGAATGGACATCATTAAGGAGCAAGAAAATAATTTGTACTCTTCATATCAGTCGGTACAGTGACTGGCTACGGGCTGGACTTCTAAGGGGTTGGAGTTCGTGTCCCGGTACGGTCAGGAATTTTCTCTCCACATCGTCCGGACCGGCTCTGGGGTCCACCCAACCTCCTATCCAAAGGGTATCGGTGGCTTTTCCCCGGGGGTAAAGCAGCCGGGGCGTATATCTGGCCACTCCAGCTAGTGGCGAGGTCAAGAAAATGTGGATCTATACATCCACTCCCCCATACGCCTTCATGGCATAATGCGTAATTAGTTAAGCACAGAGACAACTTTTACTGTTTTGTCTTTAACAGTTCATTTAAATGTATTAAATTGTATTTTATTACATTGTACAAATCTGTGTCCACATGGCACGAGGTTTTTTTTTTTTGCATTATACAGATTATATGTAGTATATATATTTTACCATAAGTAAACTATCACCGTCACTACCTTTACTTCCCTTACTTCTGCTCATCTTTCTAGCCCTTTCAAATTTTATACCTCTATATCCTAATGACATCAAACGAATGCTTGTTTTGTGGCTTTATTCTCCTGTTTACATCTAACTTTAAATAAATTAGTTCCAGTATTTACTTGCCGTTTCGATTACTTAGAAGACCGAAAGTTTGGAGACTTTACCAAGGAACTGTACTGACATTTTGACTCCTTGAATTTTTCTGGCATTTCGGAATTTCCCGAATAGGGCAGCTGACGAATAGTCGTTTAGGTCTGTATTGAATATCAGGTCTTATTTCCATATGGACATGACATAAATCAGTGGTTCTCAGTCTTTGTGAGACCGCTGCCCGATAAATTCTCTTTTTATAAGACGAGGGCCCGGTGCCGGACCGCGGCCCGTAGGTTAAAAAATATTGACCTAAAGGCAACTTGAAATTCGCTTAAAGCCGATTCTGTAGACTCACAGGTTCTTTATTTGAATGTTTGACGTGCGTATTATTTTTGAATTGGTAACCAATATCAGTGGCCACGTGGTCAAAGGCGCATGCTCTCTTGACACCAGGTTCGTGGATTCGAATTTTCCTCGGAGCATAGATCCACATTCTTATGGATCTTACAGAAATATATATGGGGGGGGGCAAATTGACTGGATTCATCTGGCTTAGGATAGACATCTGTAGCAGAATATTACGAAAATGATAATGAACCTTTGGGTTCCATAAAATTCTTAGCATTTCATGTGTGACTGAGCATCTTCTGGTTTCTGAAGAAGGACCCAACGCCGTCAGGTTACGTAAGTAGAGGCCTGTATTGGGTTGATCCCCNGAAATAATAAGGGGGGGGGGGGGCAAATTGACTGGATTCATCTGGCTTAGGATAGACATCTGTAGCAGAATATTACGAAAATGATAATGAACCTTTGGGTTCCATAAAATTCTTAGCATTTCATGTGTGACTGAGCATCTTCTGGTTTCTGAAGAAGGACCCAACGCCGTCAGGTTACGTAAGTAGAGGCCTGTATTGGGTTGATCCCCATCGAAGGAGTTCTGCTAAATTTCTAAAAGATCCGGTGTATCAGAAGTCAGTTCTGTATTTTTAAGGCGCTTCCACATTACTCGTGCTCTTGCTCGTGTGACTCACTATGCTCGCGAGTAATGTGGACGATATGACAAGTCACGAGACAATGCAAATTTAAAATTTTTAATTTAAAGACTATAGCCAATAAATTAAAATACGACTACAGCCTATACACACTACGAGTAAATATACGGATCCTCACGCGCCGACGCCTGGCAAGCAACTGAAGTAGTGTGGACGAAGATTTACGAGTACAAGTAAAAGCCAGACGAGCCTTCCGACGAGCACGAGCACGAGCACGAGCACGAGTAATGTGGACCTGCCTTTACAGGCCGAAGGTATGAAGCAGAAGACATGACCTAAGTGTTAAAAGGTAAAATTGTCCCTCTGCTTAGATAATTACTCGTAAGCCCTATGCCATGAAGACCATTCTCGACCTCGGCATTAGTGGGAGGCGAGTGGTCATCGTCATGCCCCGTTCGCTTTACTTCTGGTACCCACTGGTTAGGAGGCTGGGTGGGCCCGAGATCCGGTCTGGATGCTATGGAGAAAAATCTTACCCTATTGAGATTCGAACCCAAGCCCTGCAGCCCGTCGCTGTACCGACTGAGCTATCCGGAATCCTCGGATAGGTGACTTAACTGCGATGGAAATACAGATTCATATCTCCGTACCGACTTTCATACGAAAAACACGAATACACATTAAAATAATTAGTTGAGCAGTTCTGTGAGTGTACAAGTATGTCTGACAGCTGAAGATCAGACAAGGGAACTGGTGATTGGAGCGAAGTTCCTCCAACCGGGAATCGAAATGAAACCAGTCACGCTGTGCTTACAGGAACAGGTCCGCTGCTGTGTGTCGGTGACCGTGGTGCAGGAAGACATCACTGGCGCCAGGGCGTTCCTAACAACCCCCGCAGTAAAGTATGTACAGTCAACTTCTACACCACACACACACACACACACACACACACACACACACACACCGTTGCTTATGGGTTATGGCCTCCCAGCTGCGGTACAGCTTCTCAAGCCCATGTACAATTTTGTGTACGTATAGTTACAGGACGTTAACCCTTTTCTGACATCCACCCAGCCTCCCTATCGAAGGGGTACCGAGAATAAAGCGGCCGGGGCGTGAAGCTGACCGCTCATCTCCATCTAGTGCCGAGGTCAGTAATGGCGGAGCCATACCACCACTCCCCAATACTTCTTCATGGCGTGATGCTTAATTAAACACAGCGACAATTTTACTTTTTACCCTGTAAAGAACAGTGCATCATCTCGTTTAGTATTCAAAATTGTGCATTTTGCCCGAAAATCTGGCCTATATTTAGCGTTTGATGTGATTCTATTAATAAATATATTTTCGTATACGCCGATCACAGTGTCCGTGCGGTCTAAGGCATGAACTGTCTTCGCTCGCTCGGACTCTGGGACCGTGGGTTCGAATCCCACTTAAGGCATTGATCATTATTTGTGTTTATTCTGTTTGTGTTAGCTAGCGGCCTTGCGAAGGGCCGATCCCCCGCCCAAGGAGTGCTGCCGACTGTCTGAGATTAAGAGAAAATAAGATTCACTTACCTGGACACCGTAAAGGTATAAGAGGAGCAGAGTAAGAAAGAAAGAAAGAAAGAAATTTTCATAAACAGCATTGTCCGGTTAGTCTTTGTAATTGAGCAGTATTGTTTTTTCTGTGTGGTAGGAAGTGAATTTTTTAATGTTATTTGAACCATCTTCAGGCTTGTAAGTATTATTTGGTTGTACCATTTACCAAATATTTATTTATTTGTGGTTTATTTAACGCCGCAACAGCCGGGATAGCGCATTCGGCATAGGGACAGACTATGAAGTGGATGTCCGAGAGGTCGGAGTTTGAGTCCCGGTAGGGACAAGGTTTCTCTCCTCACCACGTTATCCAGATCAGTTCTGGTGCCCACCCAGCCTTCTATCCCAGGGGTACAGACGCTCCCCATACGTCTTCATGGCGTAGTGCTTAATTAGTTAAGCGCAGGGATTCTTTTTGATTTTAATGATGCTTTCAGAGAAGTCTCAAGACTCGGAGTCGTGAGACAGAAAAATATGGCCGTGGGTCACGCGGGGCCAGAAAACAAGAGTGAGTGCTCTGGGGAAAGCCAGCAGAACGTTACCAGACCATACCAGATGCTTTTAGCAGCTCAGCCATATAATGATTGGAGAGAATGTGAAAGAAATGTGTGGCATTATGTTAATACTATTCATCTCCCAGTAGGTTCAATGAAAATTGTTATTAACATAATTATTCCATCGCAGTAAACACAGTAAATCCTCAGTGAACGCGAGGGGAATGCGTCCCTCGAAAGCGGTGCGTTCGGTGACTCCACGATGGGCAAACTTAATGAAGGTGACAGTTGAGCTAAATAGTTCTGCCGGTACATATTGGCACGTGTATATGTGTGTGTGACTGTAGACGAGGTATGTATTGGCGAATGGATTGATTACCACTGTTCGGAACTAATGGCACACATTACGTCTTCTCATTCTTCACTAGATGTTTCCTGGCTACGGCTTCTAACAGTGAAGATCTTTCAGTTTACACCGCTTGGGTTCTCTTGTCACAGCCGCCCGTGCAGAACTTATCCGAAATTATTCAAATATAGCGTCATATCTTCTCAGCTTCCCTTCCCGAGCTCAATTGAACTGCCAACTCTCAACTGATAAATTGAAACTGAACTGGTCAAGTCAAAGTCACATTGCGACTGACATTATATAGGAGACTGTATGGGCCTCGGTTTCGGTCTGGGCGACTTGGAGAGGGGAACATTCTTGCCCCTACCCGGACTTGAATTCCGACCCCCGAGACCCTCCAGCCAGTAGTCACTCGCCATACTGACTGCGCTATCCCTACTCACAGTTATTTGAGTATTCACCGAAACTAAGAACCATGATCGTGCATGGGTTTTATAATTGTCACGAAATCCGGTAGGAGTCAGAAAAAAGTGGAGATATATTATTAATTAGGGAGGGAAGGGCAAGTTGGTGGTGAATACCGTATTTACGCATGTATAGGCCGCACATTTTTTGCCAAAAATTCAAGAGGAAAACTGGGGTGCGGCTTATATTCGAAATATTCGAAATCACACTTCATTTAAAAAAAAATATATTCATAATTAGTAATACAGGGTGTTCTACTCCTGAATAATATTCCAAGAAAATTGATTTTTCTGTAATTTCTGTCTGAAAATTGTGCTGCGGCCTATACACGCGTAAATACGGTAATTGTCGCTCAGTTTATTGTTAGTTCGTATTGTTATATCCCGTGGAAATCAGTATATTCTCAAGTAATGAAATTACTATTATTATGTATTTAATACATAATGATTACCATATGTGGTAGCACATTATATGTCTGATCCAGTAAGCAAATATCAAAGAAGCTTACGACTTGTCGACAATCTTGAAGGTGAGATCTACACCGTAGATGATAGGTTTACTTTCAGATGGGAGGTATGCGGTGAAGTTGGCCCTGTATTCTCCGCGAGGTGCATTTTTGTATCTATTTGTATCAAAGGCATAATTGTCCACGGAATATGTCCCCTGAAATAAACAAAATTACACGAATATTATAATCAAAATTGAGTCTCGACTTTCTTTCCGAATTTACATAAATACAGTTATCTGTATTTAGAATAATTTTACAGAGTTCTGATAGGGAACTACGACATAACAGAATTAAAAGAGGCATACACAAAATGACCGATTTTTAAACGGAATCCTTGAGAAGCTAACAGTTGCTCAGCTGGTCAAGAAATTCCTCGAATTTTGTGAAAACCAAAGTCTCATTTTTGTGTTCGCAACAGCCTTACACTCTATCAGTTTCTGAACAAGATGACTGCAGTCTGCGACATATCGTATTTACTTAACCCTTTAAATCCCAACGGTTACTATATGTACCATCTGCTTTAACGTACTAAAACTGCATTCTGCACGCACAGATTATATTTATATGTTTTATAAGGTTCTTAAACAGCGACTATTTCCCTAGAAGCATTAACCGGTTGGTCTTTGTCGTGGAGACGTAATGTGTTTCCTGTGAGGTATGAACTGATTTTATATATATATATATATTTTTTTTTTATAGCGATATCTTAGTGTGTGTGTCGGCTATGGGAGACTTCAGGCTCTGACCACTAGCTTTTAGTCTGAAGGTCCCCAAGAGCCGCCAGGCAGTAAAATGTGGTCTTGAGTCCCGTCGACTCGGAAACGGTCACTGCTGACGAGGGCCAGCAGCAATTTAGCATTCAGTCAGTACTTAAAGTGTTAAAATAATAGTTCAGTATTATCCTCTAATCTGTGCCTCGGTGTTCTAAGTAGCCACTTACGGCCGCGCCATAGCTTAAGCGGTTAGTCGCTGGCTTCCCACCGCGCCGGCCCGGGTTCGATCCCGGGTCTGCTGAAATGGGATTTGTGGTGGACAAAGTGGCGCTGGGGCAGGTTTTCTCCAGAGGTATTTCGGTTTCCCCTGCCAATCTTCATTCCACCAGTTGCTCCACAATCACCCTCACCTATCATCTGGGGCTGGTACACTAAGCCAGAAGTGGCCGCAGTGCAAAGGACTTAGTCCCACCCCACTAGCAGTAAAAAAAAAAAAAAGTAGTCACTTCGGATATCCCGGATGGAATTCTGCGTTGATCAATTCTTCCATGCGAGTAACATGTCTCGGCCTCCTCATTGTTCCTTATTTGAGCATCTTTAATGACAAACCACTTCATTCGAACTTAACAACCTCACAATCTGTCTCGTGTTTATAGAATAGGACTATGAAGTTTTATATCGCTCTTTCATTTGCTCCACTGTTTTGTAAGTTGGAATTGGCGTCAGCTTGGGCAAATGTGTGGCTTACCTTTTTAAAGGGGCAGGCTTTGGGAACGTTCTGTGTCTCCATAATGTGTTTAAATATTTCATTCTGAAACAGAAGGTCGCAACACGGGGTCGGCACTATACCAAACGGATTCTTCTTGAATTCGCCATCTTGTTTCTTGTAGAAAGTGGTCTGACACTGAAAAAAAAAAGTTGATGTGTTACAGCATACATTTTTTCAAATGTGTTCTTTGCGATTTTTGAAACATCTTAAATGTAGAGTTGTATAATTGGAGGCTCTCACAGCGGTGGTTATGAAGAGTTCCTTCTTCTGGGATATACAACCGCGTAGTCCCTTAAACGTCAGTCCATTTTTTCGGAGGAACATACTGCGTCCATCTTCAGGGTTGAGGAGTAAGGCAAGCAAGAAACAGGCATGAAGCATGCTGCCTCTTCATATATAAAGTAAAGTTGTCCCTATATACTTAACTAATCAAGCACTACGTCATGAAGACGTATGGGGGAGTGGACGTATGGATCCACATTTCCTTGACCTCGGCGCTAGCTGGAGGTGAGTGGTCAGCTTCAAGCCCCTGCCGCTTTACTACCGGGGAAAGAGCCCCGGACTGGACGACTTGTAGAAGAGAAAAAATTTTGAACTTAACGGTACTCGAACTCTGACCCCTCGGTCGTCTAGCCCGTAGCCAGTCGCTATATCGACTACGCTATCCTGGCTCCTACCTCATCATCATATTTCCATTTTTGGTTTACTCCTTTATCCAGAACATTCCTATGAAACAGCTACCAGACTTCACGGTCTCCCATTCCAGACGTGAATTATCATTATATACGCACAAACTTGGATTGCCTTGGTGCGTATGTATCAGTAAGGACACATGAAGTAGGCGAGCAGATGTATATTCGTAGGCAGCACAAGTTGTCTGTGGTCTACTCGTAGTTGTAAGGACCAGGGCACACCAAGGAAACTGGCAACTGCAACGAAATTGCTGTTGCGTTGCCGTTGCCAGTTTCCTTGATATGCCCTCGCCCTAAATGTAGAATTGCGCGGGTTAGCATGAAAAGCTTCCCCCCCCCCCCTTATTTTATCAACCAGAAGATGCGAATACTGTTTATTTAGTTTTTCGTGTCATTGTGGTATCTTGAATTTGTAAAGTTATTGTGTTGTATAATTTACCATTTTTTTACATACTTGTAATATTACAAGAGCCGCGGTAGCTGAGTCGGTATAATGACTGGCTACGGGCTGGACGACCAAGGGGTCCGAGTTCGAGTCCTGGTACTGTCAAGAATTTTTACTTCTCGACCTCCTCCAGACCGGCTCTGTGGTCCACCCAACCTCTTTTTCAATGGTTATAGGGGGCTCTTTCCCCGGGACAAAGCGGCCGGGGCGTGAAGCTGACAACTTACCTCCAACTAGTTCCGAGGTCCCGCATATGCCATCATGGCGTAGTGTTTAATTAGTTGCCCTCAGGGAAACTTTACTTGTAATATTGCAAACGAGTACTTGCACATATTTACTTCATATAGAAATAGAATTTTCAAATTATATTGATTACCTTGCTTAAGGGTATGTGCCATTTTGAGACCCAAACGACCCAATGATATTTAAAGGATTAGCGTATTTGTTTCAAAAGAGCAGCTCGTTTGTAGCTTTATATACGTAAAATAAATTTTTGTTTATTAAGTTTCCCTTCATCCCTACCCGAATAAAGTCTATGGCTCTGTGTTGTATTCGTTGTCAGCAATTTAAATAGCTAACTTCATGGATCAGAGTCATTCGTGAGAAGCCACAGGTTGCTTAGCCATTCAAGAAATTGCTAGCATTGAACGGAACCCAGAAGTTCATTGCTGTATCCACAAGAGTGCCCCCCCCATTGGCCCCTATCCCGAGCCAGATGAATCCAGTCATATTTATCTAAGATCCGTTTTAATATTCTCCCATATACGTATTGGTCCTGTTAGCCTCTCTTTCCTAGCAAAATCTTGTAGGCAATCGTGTTCTTCCCAGCATGATGCAAGCCCTGTCCGTCTCATCCTCCGTACTTCTCATAACAGTTACGTAGCAACGCAAGTTATTAAGCTCATTGTGTAGTTTTCTCCATCCCTATTGTGTCCAAATATTTTTTTCAGCACCCTGTTCTCAAACACCCCCAGTCTATGTTCTTCCCTTGATGTGAAATATAACTTTTACACCCATACAGAACCACAGGCAGAGCTGCAGTTTTGTGTATTTTAATTTGTATTTACGTATTTAGGCAGCAGGCGAAACAGAATGTTTTTGTTTTCCTTGGCACTACAGCCCCAGTGGGTCTAGGCCTACCTCCATGAACTTCTCCGTTCACTTCGGTTTTTCTAGATCTTACACATTCGGTAGGACTCCTTGGGCGGGTGATCAGCTCGTCGCAAGGCCTCTACCTGTACACAAACACAGCAGGACGCACACACACAAACTAAACATCCATGCCCTGAGTGGGATTCGAACCCACGATCCCGGTTTCCAAGTGAGGGAAGACAGTTCATGCCGGCGAATCAGAATAGTAAGAAACATTTCCGGATACTAATCTGCTCTTATTTTTCTCATGGATCGCATGTTGTGAACAGTCGTGAAATATATAGGCCTAAGCTCTATAGTTCTCTTATATATGCAGGCTTATTTATTATTATTTGTACACCTTTCGCTTCAGCGCACTTTGAATACATTTCATTTGCCATCCGGCTTCGTTAACTGAATTAGCACATTTCGCAACTGGATGATGACCTTACAGGTACAGCGCAGATAACACCAATAGATCTACTCCCATCATTTTTCAATAGACAGTACAATCGTTAAAAAAGAACGGAAGTTGTTCCTGTGATTAACTGATTAAGCACCACGCCATGAAGACACATATAAGGGAGTGGAGGTATAACTCTACCATTCTTGACCTCGACACTAGATGAAAGTGAGTGGTCAGCTTCAAACCCCGGCCGCTTTACCCCGGGGGAATGATCCTCCAGTATTCAGTGTATAGGAGGCGGGACGCTGTGGAGAAGAAGGAAACCTCTCGCATCTGCTGAGAGTCGAGCCTGTAGCCTGTTGCTATAACGACTGACGCATCACCTTTCCTGAGCGTAATAGCTATGCCAGAGTGTTAATATCGTTTCCTCAGCGATAATTAACTCATGGAGTAGAATCCTGCAGAAGCGACCGTTGCTAGGATAGTCATGAAACTCCGAGCATTTTATGGAAACCGAAGTTTTATTACCGTCTTTGCAGGAGCACGCCACTGGTCGCTGTCCTAAGGCAGATATGAATTTTAATAAGTGCATATCTACGTCAGTTATTCCAGATATTTTGGTTATGGAATCTTTCCATGAATTTCCCTCTTCCTCCATGCGTGCTACATGCCCTGTCTGTCTAATCCTCTTTGATCATTCTAATGTTTGGAGAGGTGTATGAATTATGAAGCTCCTCAGTATCCATATTTCTCCAGACCCCCGTTTAGGTCCAGATATTCACCTCAGCAACTTGTCTTTACACGCCTTCAGTCTGTGTTCAGCATTTTATGGGATAGACCAAATTTTGGGCTCTCGCAAAGTAACAGACAACATTACAGTCTTGCATATTTTAATCTCCACGTGTTTAGACAGCAGAAATGAAGACAAACGATTTCGTAATAATTCGTAGCAAGAATTTTCAACTCGAATCTACTCTTTAATTTTTTTTAACTTGCAATTTTGATCAGTTAGTTTATTCCTAAGCATTTAAACTTTACATATGTCAAAGACCCCTCGTTGGTGTCTCCACCTTATCGTGGTGAGGGTGTTTGAGTATGCCAAGGACCCTGAGAGCTATACCAGCGGTAGCGTAGCTAATGGCAGGGCCTCCCTTGCTGGACAGGTCAAAGGGTAGGCATCAGACGAAGAGAGACACCGGAAACTGATGCCGGAAGCAGCGTCATCAGCGGCGACTTGAAGCACAGAGAAAATGATGCTCGAGATGGTTCAAGTTCGTATAGCAACAGGCGTGACCAGAGTGGTTTGAACGGCTGTTGTACTGCGATGTGGAAAGCAAATGGAAAAACTACCACATTATCACTATTCCTGGATAGTCTCTTTCCAAAAACAGAAGATCGCATTAAGTGGAGAAACTGTTTTGGAAGAGGCTGTGGACCTGTCATCTGACAGATTACTGATGAATGAATGAATGTCAAAGAGAGCCAAAGAAAAATTGGTTGCAGCATTAGGGAATGTTTTTGCTGTAATATTTCTTACAGTTGCATGCTGACGCACTTCCTTTATAATTGTGGCTGTGTTTAAGGCTAATTGCAATGTTATTCCTCATAGCTGTGCCCTTGCTGCAAGGTTACTTTACATTCGCATCCTGAGGTATTTATACGTGTGGCTTTGTTTCCGGGCGACATATACCGTATTTACGCATGTATAGGCCGCAGCACAATTTTCAGACAGAAATTATAGAAAAAATAATTTTCTTGGAATATTATTTCAGGAGTATTACACTCTGTATTACTAATTATGAATATAATTTTTTATAAATGAAGTGTGATTTCGAATATAAGCCGCACCCCAGTTTTCCTCTTGAATTTTTGGCAAAAAATGTGCGGCCTATACATGCGTAAATACGGTAATCGTATCCTGGGGCACTTCCCTTTCTATTTCTTTGTCGTAAGGATACTTACATTTGGATCTTGACTCGCTCTATAACTGTGACTTTGTTGTAAGGCTACATTGCAATCGCATCCTGAGGCATTTTCTTTATAACTTTGTTGTAAGGCTACATTGCAATCGCATCCTGAGGCATTTTCTTTATAACTTTGTTGTAAGGCTACATTGAAATCGCATCCTGAGGCATTTTCTTTATAACTTTGTTGTAAGGCTACGTTGAAATCGCATCCTGAGGCATTTTCTTTATAACTTTGTTGTAAGACTACATTGAAGTCGCATCCTGAGGCATTTTCTTTATAACTTTATTGTAAGGCTACATTGCAATCGCATCCTGAGGCATTTTCTTTATAACTTTGTTGTAAGGCTACATTGAAATCGCATCCTGAGGCATTTTCTTTATAACTTTGTTGTAAGGCTACATTACAATCGTATCCTGAGGCATTTTCTTTAGAACTTTCTTGTAAGGTACCAATTTTGTTGTAAGGCTACATTGCAATCACATCCTGAGGCATTTTCTTTATAGCTGTTGTAAGGCTTCATTACAATGGCATCCTGGGGCATTTTTATAACAGTTGTAAGGCTACATTACAATCGCATCCTGGGGCATTTTCTTTATAACTGTTGTAAGGCTACATTACAATGGCATCCTGGGCATTTTCTAAATAACATTGTTGTAAGTCTACTTACAATCGCATCCTCAGGTACATCCTTTATTACAGTGGCTTTGAGGCTGAAGGTTGTTTTTGAGCCATCTTCCCCTGTTGTTCCCTCTACAAGGTCCACATATTCTTTGGTGTCAGCAAACGGTGTTACGTTAGTAACCTGTATTTCATAGGAGGGCTGTAAGAGAGAGCATAACAACACATTTCCATGAGAAACATCCTCGTGAATTACCTGACTGTCCGCGAGCAGTATCAGGAAAAGTGATTTATTAACTATCACGTAAATGAACTTCTGACGTCAGGGGCCTACTTTATGTTTCTATTTTTTTAGCCTACTTACCTTATTCGTGGATATGTGTATGGTTCTGTCTGTGTACCCCGTATCGTTGCTAGGCAACGGCATAGTAAACACGTTCCCGCGAAAACGAATTCTTGTATGCGTCGTTTTCTGTGCGGTTCGTGTAGTGTGAGGCGGAGTCAGTAAACAGGTCACAAACTTAAGGAATGTTGTTTTCGAACCCGAAAGAAGACAGTTATTTCTCGACATATCCACCAACACTGATACATTCGTCCCAACGCTTTACCAGTGCGTTAAAACCCGCAGCATAGAAGTCTTTTGACTGTTATCTCCGTCGCTTCCGCACCTGGTCGACCATCATCTGCGAATTTCGAACGTCCTTGATAGGATTTCTCGACTTAGTTGTTAACCGCTTTACGCGACAAACACTTCCCACCGTAAACAAGAAACATTTCTTTATTAATATCCTTTGCATTGAGTCGTTTTGCCCACAAAAACGCACAAGAGAACGCTACCTTCGGTAGTATAACCTGAAGCACGGTGGCTATTTGACTGCAGAAACCAGCCTCTCAACATGTACATGTGCGTCTGCTGCCTGTACCGTCATAAAGATATTGTGTTGCTACTTCATTTATCTGTTTTACTTCCATTTGTGACCTATTTACTGACTCTTCCTCGTGTCGAAGGAAAGTAGCCTATTATTTCTTCGCAGAACTTCTTGTTTGTTCATTTTACTTGACCTGCCGGCCTGTCGTGAATCCACTTCTAAAGCGAGAGCTCCAATATCGGGTGGTCTCGTTTATTCTCTACGTTACGGTTATGGTACGATTACTGCAACCGACACAGTGGACAGGCAGTTTAACGCGGATCTCGAAGCACGGGGCGGGGGAGCGTGTTCAGGGTGCACATCCTGTAACTAGTAAGGAGGTTGATTATACAGAGGGATCCAAAAGAATGTACTCACTCTTTGATAGTCAATATCTTTGGAACAAAATGACATGTAGTTACAATTCTTGCCCGGAGAGAGAGAGCCGTCTGTGTTCGAAGTGACCACCATCAGCGGCTAAATAGCATCGATGCCGCCGAACTCTGAGCGAACTACGGCTGTCAGTGTGTCCGGTGTGATGGCTGCACACGACGCTTCGATGGTTTCTCGTAGCGCGTTCAGTGTAGCTGGCTTTTGTCGATAAACTTCATCCTTCAAGGTTTCCCATAGGTAGAAGTCGAGAGGTGTTAGGTCTGGAGAGCGTGGTGGGTACTCAATAGCACCTCTTCGATCTATCCTTCATCCAGGTAGAGTGTCATCCAAGTACGCCCCGACATCTCGATGGTAGTGAGATGAAGCACCATCTTGTTATAGGTGAAATCTCTCATCTCCAAACAGCTCTCGAATGGCAAGGAAAATCGATGTCTGAAGCATTTCGAGATACACCACAGCACTGGAAGCTGGACTTGTTACTATCCGCGGTCGCCCAGGTCTTTGCTTATGCACATCATGAACAGTACCGTCGGCTTCAAATTTATCCCGAATACGGGCAATTCTTCAACGTGTTGCTGGCTGAGTTCCAAACTTATTCTGCCATTGTCGTTGTACCTCGTTAATGTTTTCGTACTTCCAGTTCCACTTCAATACAGTCTTGCGTTGCTCAAAGAACAACTTTCAGCCATTGTTGCTGCTGTCTTCTGCTCGCAGCGCGCACGCGGCACGACATTCACGTGACTCATGTGACCTTCGCCATCTGTTGAGAAAACATTACACTACACGACCGCGCAAGAATTGTGACTAGATGTCATTTTGTTCCAAAGATATTGACTATCAAAGAGTGAGTAAATTTTTTTGGCCCCCCCCCTGTAGTACGAATAGTCCTCACACAATTGCAGGCTGGCGTATGACTTGTATTCTGGTTCGATTCTCTGCTGGGGCACCGACTGTCCATACTGACGGTTTTTTGCCCTTTCTTCAGCCCGTTCAGGAAAATTCCGAGGTAGGATCGTAAAATAAGCCACGACGGCTTCCTTCCACATTTTTTCAGTTGATTAATCATTAATATCGGAATATTCGACCTATATTCTTGGTTATAACTCTGTCTAGTCAGATGGAAGTGAACAGCGACGTTTTGGAGGAACAGTCCGCCCCCCTCTTCAGATAAGCTCTGTTTGCTCTCTGCTTCGTGTTGGTTTCTTACTTCATGCATTTTCTGAACCTGAAGATAGAGGCGACATGTTCCTTCGAAACGTTAGTAGACGTTCACTGGACCACACGACGTTATATCAACGGACATAAACATTTCATGACCACCGACGCGATAATTTCTAATCACATGAACTTACTTAGTGTGACTTGCTGAGAGCGTCGGTAGTAAATGTTGCTTTTGAAGGGAATATAAAGAGGAGATAAAGGATTATGTATCATTTTATTGCGAGGTATAAAACGAACTTCAATAATATGTCATTATCTTTAGCATTATTAATGTGTATAGCAGTTGGACCGTTTGTTTGCGTAGTCGGTATAGCGACTGGCTGGCCGCGCCATAGCTCGAGCGGTTAGTCGCTGGCTTCCCACCGCGGCGGCCCGGATTCGATCCCGGGTCTGGCCAAGTAGGATTTGTGGTTGACAAAGTGGCGCTGGGGCGGATTTTCTCCGAGTATTTCGGTTTCCCCTGCCAGTCTTTATTCCACCGAATTTTCCATCATCATAATCAATCACCTGGGGCACGATACAATAGGCGAATCAGTGGCCGCCGTGCCGAGTGGACCCAGTTGGACTCCACCCCCACTAAAAGAATTTAAAAAACAGTAGGGACTGGCTACTGGCTGGACGACCGAGGGGTCGGAGTTCGAGTCATGGTAGGGTCAAGAATTTTCTCCTCGTGTCATCTAGACCGACTCTGGGGTCCACACAACCTCCTATCCAGTGGGTACCGGGGGCTCTTTCCCCAGGGGTAAAATGGCGAGGGCGTGAAGCTGACCACTCACCTCCAACTAGTGCCGAGGTTAAGAAAAATGTGGGTCTGTACATCCACTTCCTCATACGTCTTCATGGCATAGTGCTTAATTAGTTAAGCACAGGGACAACTTTACTTTTACCTTGCCTCAGTTATCGTGTCTTGTTTCGGTTGATCTGTAAGAAGGCAAAGTTTCTGTGCTTAATTAAGCAGCATGGCATGAAGACGTATAAGAATGTTAAGGTATAGCTCCAGTCATTCTTCGCTTCAGCTCTAGATGGAGGTGAGCGGTTAGCTTTATGCTTCGGATAGCGAAAGCTATCCCAGTATCCATTGGATGGAAAGTGCATAGTCCCCAGAGCAGTACTGGACGTGGGGGGAAGAACAAATTTTTGGTTTCTTCTTGGGGAGTGTGCTCCTGTACTCTGTGAGATTGACGGAGTGTTAAATAAGAATCACGACTGATTGGCCGATATTTATGCATTTGTAGGCTACATTCCTTAATTTGAACAAGGAGGAGGCTTAAGATATCGCCTTTCTGTCTCTCTCGTCTTTATATCCTGATTTTTGTTAGGAAGCTTGAAGTTCCAATTGCTCTCTGTCTCCATATTCATCTGTGTGTACCCTCTCGTAATTTTTAGGCTCATGAGATCACCTTGCTGTCTGTGAGTCCCCCATATTTTTTCGTTCTATATGCTGTCCATGTCGTATCAAAGGAAAGTAGGAAATTACTTCTTTCCAGCACTTCTTGTTCATGTTGATATAGAGGAACTTGTTTTGATGATGATTTATCGAATTATCGTTGTCTTTCGAGATCCGTAAAAATCTGAAATCGTGGTGATGAATATCATAACAAAAAAAAACTCCATGGTTTTAGTCCGCAAGCGAACTGTACCGACCGAGCGACCGCCGCTTGTATGTGAAGTTAGTGCCAACTTTAGCGGACAGAAGGTTTCGCGTAGTGAGCGCAACGGATCCCCATGGTCGTTAATCTCGGTTTTCTAGACCGGAGCCGCTATGTCCTTGAAATAGCTCCTCAATTATCGTCACCAGGCTGAGTGGACCCCGCTCCAGACCCACTACTTCTCAGAAAATTTGGAAGCGCCGGAACCTGTAGCCAGGAACTCTGACCACTAGACCACAGAGTCGGTCGACGAATATCATACAAATTCAAATAATGTGCCCAGTACTTACATCTTCGTCTGCTTGTGCCTGCTGGTGAAGCAGTATCACCAGCGCGCAGATGACAGCGTTGATCAGCTTCATGTCGCAGCCTGAACTGTAACGTGCCCTATGTTTCGTCTCACATTTTGCACGTTTTCCTGCATGTATTTATATGAGCGTTACGAAACAGGAGGTGGAAGTCCTCTTGTGTTCTGTGGATTGTTATCTCGTCTTTTATTGTCCCAAACAAGTTTATTACGTGGAAACTGTTACAATCGCCATGAATCATTTTTTATGGTGTGCCATTTGATTGTATATTATTGTGCTTATGATTTTGTTAAAACGATCTTTCTCAAACTGTGGTACCTGTACCCCTAGGAGAACTAAAGCAGGTACCAAGGCTACCATACTTTTTAGCAGCCCCATTTTAGGCATTTATTTATGGGTGGTATTTCTGTTTTGAATGGAATTAACTTGTACCTATATTAGTTACAAAGATTATCATTTTTCATTTATATTGTATGAGCATAACAGTAAACAATAAGTTTAAAATTTTAAGACTTTGAAATTGATGACATTCCAAATGAATGCCTCAGGTACCTTCCAGTAAGGCCATTGGTACACTTGACACATTTATTTAATGGCTGGCTTCGGCTGTCCCATTTTTCAAGGTCTTGGAAGGAAGCAGAAGTCATAAGGTTACCGAAACACCGTGAGGACCCACAATTCCCTCACAATTTACATCCGATTGGCCTCCTGACCACAAGAGGCAAACTATTCGAAAAAGTCATTGTGAAGATATTCCAAAAGCACACTGAAGAAAGAGGCCTGCTTAGCGCAAGCCAATTTGGTTCCCGTGCACGTCACAGCACGACACTGCAATGTATGAGACTAACGGACCATGTGACTTTTAATTTCAACAATAATATGTCTACGGCCACGGTGTTCTTGGACATCGAAAATACCTTTGTTGCCACATGGAACTCTGGCTTGCTATATAAGTTATCTAAATTGGAAGATTTGAAGACTTTATTTTATGTGTTATAGCAATCTTTAGTGTGTTATACTTGTAGTTACGACTGTGAGTATCCATAAATCCAGTCATCAAAACTTAGACCCACTGCCATTCGTCACGCAAACCCCTTATGTGACAATATGCATTGCGTATTACCTAATTAATTAAGCACAGGTGCAACCTTATCTTTACCTTCATACGTAAAAGACCTTATTTTATTACACGAGCCTGGGAAGGACCAAAATATATAAGGCCATTGTACTGACTCGACATTTTAGTAACAGTATGTTACACTTCAGTAGACGGCCTCTGTGGTCTAGTGGTCAGAATTTCTGGCTACAGATCCATAGGTCCCGGGTTCGATTCCCGGAGCTACCAGATTTTCTGAGAAGTAGTGGGTCTGGGCCACTCAGCCTCGTGATGATAATTGAGGGGCTATTTCAAGGAAATAGCTCCGGTCTAGAAAACCGAGATTAACGGCCGGGGGGGGGGTTGTTGCGCTTACCGCGCGACACCCTCTATTTGCAAAAGTTGGCACTAAACTTTGCCGACAAGCGGCGGTCGCTCGGTGGGTCCACGGAGTTTGTTTTGTTTTAATAAGCCCAACTTTTGTTCTTAAATATAACTTGCTATGAAATTCCTGCCTTGATGTGTAGACCCAAGTTGCTATAAATCCTTCTGTATTACTCGTAAAATGTTAAAACTTTCCATGTTACAGGCCGTGAAGGCTCATAGGGTTGTGAGATGCCGAGGATCCCACATTTTCTATAAAATCGGCTCACAGATGGCGGTGAGGTTGTCAGCCTCACGCGCCCGCTGCCCTTTATCCCCAGGAAGATTCCTGGTACTCGTTTCTGTTAGAGGCTGACTCGTCTCCAGGGCCATAGTGCGGCTGGAAAGGTTAGATCAATTGAGAGATCCAGTTACCTCATCGCGAATCGAACCCTCGACCTTTCGGTTTGTAGCATAGTGCCTCAACCAACTACGCTAACGCGTGCTCCAATATATTACTCATACTGCAGTTAAAAAAGGTAAAGTTAATTGAGTAATTAATTCCATGGAACAGAGCCCACTGGAAAGCTGATAGTCGCTCAACTGATCAGTAATTTCACTGCTTTCTATGTAAGATGAAGGTTCATTAACGTTACCATAAGAGCGTGTTAGAAGAGCTTGCGTTAAGCCAGATGAATCCATTACACACTCTTGGATCCTAATTAATAAGTAAAATAAAACAGTGAATTGGATTCTTGGCTCTTCTATATCTCAGATGTGTATGTAATATTGATCTCTGTAAAAATTTCTGTGTACATTGAAACTGGTGCAGACTTTGTATGAAAACTAACATAAATGTATAATTAAGTAGCCCCATAGAGCTGAGCCCTTCTTGAGAAGCCGTCAATTGCGCAACTACTGTAGGACTTACCAGCATTTTATGGAAACCGAAGGTTCATTACCGTGTTCACAAGAGCACTCAATCCTCAGCCAGATGAATCCAGTCCCTACCATGCATCCTGTTTCTCTGAGATCCAATTTAATATTCTCCCATCTACTTCTAGGTCTTCCTTGTTATTCCTTGCCCTCTGGCGTTACCACCAAATCTAGTTTGAATAGAACGAATGGCAAATACTTTGTCGTCAGAAGTGATGCTTCACATCAAGAGGTGGGCAAACTTTCAAGAGAAATTTAACTTCGATAATTTATAAACTTGATAATTAGTGATTCTTTAGTATGTTTTTTATAAAGCTTTCGGGAATTATTTATAACACTGTGATATATGACATTGTAGCGCAAGAATTATTTCTGCTGAATTACAGCAGATCGGCACACGTTATATACAATGTCACGTAACTTCGAACAAGGCCCCGCATTCCTAGTCAAATCCCGCGCACAGCTTGTGGTGGAAGGAGTTTCTTAACACTCGTTCTTCTGCTGGCCGTCTGTCACTTCTCACACCCTCCACCCCCTTGTCTGAAAATTTTCTTCTACGCACTCAGGGTTACTCTTGGCCTTGTTCGAAGTTACGTGATACTTGCTATAGCTTCCACGGTTTCAATGTGAAATGTGGGCATCTAGCGGAAGCCATGGTTATCATGATATCGAGGAGGCGGTTCTGCCCTGCTTGGCTCTGCTATTGTTCTATTGTAGCCCAATTTCCTTTCGTTAAAAAATGAGTAGGCTTGTGGTATAATTATACTCCCTGTCTGCGTGTCTCCGTTTCTGCGTTTGTACCAGATGAGCGTTTATCATGAAATATGATATGAACATTATGCCATTGCAGTCTATCCTTTTCTGGTACTCTCTGTTCTGTCCGATGTTCGTTGTTAATGATAGTGACCCGTGTCGAACGAGCCATGATTTGGTCGAGTAGAGACGCAGATGTGTAGGTTAAGGGCGGCCGCACACCAGCTGCGTCAAGACAAGCATCAAGACATGAGACAAAATATTCAGTCTTGCTTCATTCGTGATTCAGACTCGAGTCCGCACACAGAAGTCTTATCACATCTTCTCTAGTTGACATGACGTCATGTCGATAACGTACAGTGGTGGGCCCTGGCTTCTTAGGTTTCGTAATCTTTTTTTTTACGCAGACGGTAGGACTCCTTGGACGGGGGATCAGCCCATCGCTAGGCCGCTACCTAAACATAGGACAACACAAACACAGAATAAACGCACGCACACACACAGACATCCACGCCTTGAGTGGGATTCGAACTCAGTGTTCGAGGAAGAGAAGACAGTTGATGCCTTAGGCCGCGCGGCCACTGTGATCGGCATACAGCATCCAAGCATCCGGAATTCTTATGCAGCCTACAATATTTTTCTAACAATATGTACAGTTTCTGTAATTAAATAATTAATGCCCGTAAGCATCCTCCTTAGGGTTGCCGTTACAGTAGAGGCTGATTGAACCTCTGCTCGCTTTACAGCATATCCGAAATAATTCACCCACCAATACACAGTTAATTTAATTTGTAATTGCCCTTTTTGCCGCATGTTTAAGTTGTATAGGTGTGTCTCCTAGAATGTACTGTATTGGGTTTCTGTAAGTGGTTTTCTCATGCAACTGATACATTTCGGCTGCTGTTCTGCGTACATTTTGTTTACTTTTGCATTATTTCTTCTTTTGCAATAAAATATTCCAGCCAACAGGTGTTCTTATGGAGTCATACTGTTGTGCTGGAATACGATCTTTTGCTAGGCAACGCTTCAGTAAACAGGTTCCTGCTGCAACGAATAACAGCGAAAGAGTCGTTGCTAGATAGCAAGTCGCTAAACACATATTGCCGTTGACAACGAACAGAATAACAGAGGAACGGTTCGACATGGTGACTGCTATTGCAGCCGCCTGGAACTGATAAATCAGTTGTAATTCATTCGTAAGAGTTGATATTCGGGCCGCCGTGTGGAGGCCGGGTCACATACGTCCACCGTAGCCCTGCGAGTCGTTGGAGGCGACGAAAAGGGAACCAAATACCTGGGGATATAACAGGGTCACCCTGTTCCTGGGGGATATAAACATGGAGACCTGGCCCACCAGGTTGGGGGAGTGACGAATCTGAGACAGTAAAATTTGGTCGTGAGTCCCGCGGTACTCGGACCTGAGAATGACTGCGCTGCCGAGAATCATCACCAATTGTAAACGACAGACACATCCTCTCGTCAGAAAGGATGCTACATAAGGACTAGAACCGCAAGTGTTCAGCTGGAAAATAGAATTAGTGGTCATGAGTCTCAAGGGGCTTGTCGTCAAGACAGACTGATTGGCAGTAGGCCGCCAGTGATAAAGTGACTCTGACTCTGACTGTAAGGGAGATTCGTCAGACAGGAGTCGTAATTCATTCAGGAGTTCATTGTGTGAGCAGTGATTCGTCATTCGTCACAGTGGAAGAGAAACCACTTGTGGTACAGTAAGGAATGGAGCGAGTCGTAGACAGTAACTGATTGTCAGCTGTCATAACTGATTGTAATTTTAAAGGAGTAAATCCAATCATCCAATCCAGAACCCCTCATTATTAGTCACGCCAACACCGAATACGTGACGAGGATGTCACAATTGGTCGGTTTGCATAGGATTGATCGAATTATTGAATTTAAGATAGCATCGTATAGTTACGTATATTGCCACATTATGGAGATGCAGCAGATAATGGAAATGCCGACCGAGAAGAAAGGAAGGCAAACATGAAAACCATGCAAGAGAAGATGGATGCCAACCAGGCAAAGACGGACGCCAATAGGGAAGCCGACCGAGAAGAAAGAAAACAAATAAGTGCCAGCCAGCCAAAAAGAAGGTGGCTTCATTCGTCTTCTGGATGGATGCCCATCATGAAAGGATGATGCTGTGTCTAAGAAGGAGGATGGCCACGGATTTGAGGCAAACCTAGAAGAGAAAGAGTCATGGGAGTTGTATCTGGAGGTCATCAAGGAACACGCCGCAGTGGAAATTGTCACAGTGCCGAATAAGCAGCATAGGGGCCGGAATCTAGCTGTAAAACCCCGCCGCAGGCCGAAGGATCGGTCCCGGTGGAAATTGGCCGCCAACCACAGAGGAACGACCCGCCAGGCAAAAGTAGCACGGCGCAAGGGAAACGTCGGGAAAAGTCAGATGAGAGAGAAGGCCGGACGACGAACTTCGAAAAGGAGGACATCATGAAGAAGGCATCAGCCGAAATCGAAACGTATAAATGAGATAAGGAACCGAGGCCTGAGACAGCAGCTACGAAGCAAGAGGGAATTGACCATGACTCTCGGGAAGACCCTAGGACTGGGGTTCAGGAAACGAACTGTCAGATCTACTGTTGGATTGCGAAAGATCAAGGGCTGAACTAGCAGTGTTAGCGTAAGATGAGTCGGAAATGTGTTAGCACTGACAATTCGGGATAGTTTTGCCTTGCCGTTGGAAAAGAAAAACTCTGAAGAACAGTGACACACCTGGACTGGCTGGAACCTAATAAATGAGTCGCTCGAGACGAGCGCCATTAAGAGGCGAGCAGTGGTACCGGGTGGAGAATGAAACCAAGTGTAGTCCTCAAAAGATGAACGGTGATACATCGATAAGCTATTCGGGACGAACAGCCTTAAGGAGGGAGAATTATGACGGAATATGATCATTTGCTAGGCAACGCTTCGGTAAACACAGGTTACCGCTGCAACGAATAGCAAACGAACGAGTCACAGCTAGGTAGAAAGTCGCTAACACAGATTCTCGTGACAATGAACAGAATAACAGAGGAACTGTTCGACATGGTGATTTATATTGCGGCCGCCTGGAAGTGATAAAAGAGTCGTAATTCATTCGTGAAGGAGTTTCGTCAGACAGGAGTCGTAATTCATTCAGAAGGAGTTCGATGTGTGAGTACTGATATGACGTTCGTCACTGTTGAAGAGAAGACGCTCCTAGTCCAGTAAGGCATGGAGCGAGTCGTAGAGACTCATTGATTGAGAGCTCATTGTAAATATAAAGAAGTGCCATTGAATCCAATCATCCAGTCCAGAACCCGCTATTATTCGTCACGGAACCCCAATATGTGACACTGTTTTAGGTTCTGATTTAACTGTTCGTGTCATTTGCTGTTCACCAAAATTAAATGAAAAATGTTAATTCTAATTGTTATATGGTTACTAGTCAACTCTAGTCAAAGTCATATTTAACATTTGAAGCGAAATAAGTCGGATAACTTAACGGATAGTAGTTTGAATACAGTATACGAAGGGGGACCCAAAAATAACTGGAACCGACCTGTTGCGCGCGCATGCTTTGTAGTTACGAGTCGTGCTGCTAGGTGGTGTTAGCTGTGGGTCTCCCGCGACTGTTAGTGAGCTGGCGTCAGTCTGAGTTAAGTGGTTTGTCTGTGGTGCTCTGTTGTGTGCGTTCCTGTTTCAACCCTTTGGCGATTAGTGAGATGGCCAACCAGAAGGAACAAAGAGTGTGCGTGAAATTTTGCTTTCTGTTAGGGAAAACTGCAGCCGAGACTGTTGGGATGCTTCGGCAAGCCTTTAATGATGATGCTTTGGGGAAATCACAGGTCTACGAGTGGTTTTCCCGTTTCAAATCTGGCAACATGTCAACAGAAGACATGCCACGCCCCGGGCGTCCTTCGACAGGAAGAAATGACGAAAACATTGCCAAAATCAAACGTGCAATT